CTAGCGGCTTCTCAACATATCCCTCGCCACTTCTATATCTTGTTAGTGCCGAAGGTCTTTTTCCTCTCTCACACTTCTCTTGGCAGCTTTAGCCGAAGCCGTCATTACTTTAAGGTGACTCACTGCTATCGTCGCTGTCACAGCTGTCAATCTCAATGGAGGTGTCCATGCTGCTCGTGGCTGATAGCGAGCCTCCCAGCCCTGTTCCCCCTGGAAACAGCGGCGACAACAACCTGCCGCTCCCCCCGCCTTCTCCCCCTCCGACGGCCCCTCCGCCTTGACATGCGCTGCCTGGGCTGAGAGCCTTAGGAGGGGACAACTGGTTGGGCGAAAACGGCTCAGCGAAGGAGGATGTGGGCGAGATGCGAGGGAAGTAAGCAGAGATTTGTCTGATGGGACGAATGGGACCCGGGCAGACATCAATGGCCATGTGCTCCTGGATGGAGACGGCTAGACTTTTTCCCTTTCTCACAGTCATAGGGCTATAGGGAGAAGAGCAGAGGGAAGGAAGGAGGGAAAAAAAAAAGGGACTTAGAAAATCACATTTCATGTTGTTATGGGAAACCTTTCAAAGCATTATTTGAATAATAATATAATAATGAGGACTTTTACGGACAGACAAAAGCGCTAAAAAAATGCTTTTCGGAAATTTAAAATCCCGAGCCGCACGCACATTCACAGTAAACTGGTTGGTTAACTGGTTGAACTAAGAGCTGCATTAAGATATTCTGGTTGAATTAGAGCTGCGTTCCTGTTAAAATTCAAGTTTGGAGTTATATTTTGGATGTAATTATTTCACATATGTATTTAAATGAACAACAACAACAACTGTAATTAGCAAGCAATTGACAACATGTCATGTTTCTGACAAAGCGGGTGGGGTCAGGGGTCAGGGGTCAGGGGCGGCCTGGTGGTTAAGGAAGCGGCCATGCGTCAGAAAGGTCGCAGGTGTGAATCCACCAGGTTCCACTGAGCATGGAGTCAGTTTTTTTTTTACAACAATCAAATTCATTGTTAAAAAATATTTGCACGCGCAGCGGTGCATGATTCAACTCATCGCCTAATCAGGCTGAATTAGCAGTATCAGCGATGAGCGTGTCCTACAAATTTGAACAACTTGCTTGTTGAAAATGTACCCTATTACCCGGAGGCAGTGAACAGTTCCTAACAGACTAACAGATAATTATGGGATGGAGTCTGGCGGATGAAGCAGACTTAACTCTCTTTGTGTTCACGCTGGAGTTAATAATACAAGGTTGCGGCAGCCCAGCAGATGTAGCTGACCACGGGACTGATGTGTCTGCTCTCCTACCAAAATAAACAGCAGAGGGAGGACGAGAACTACCTCACAGCTTTAGTTATCTATAGACAGCAAGGACTTGGGGGGGTGGTTGTGTTCTCATTACTAAACATACCAGGCTTCTTCCCTCTTAAGGCTTACACTGCTCTAATCCATTAATTAAAAAAAAAAATCAATGAAGAATTTTTTGTCATTGGAAAATATTTCAATGGTGTTTTAACCAGAGGGGGGAAAAAAGCTGACACATCCTCTGTTAGCGTTGATAAAAAAAAAATCATTTTCTCGTGTGGTTCTATCAGGAGCTGACACATCCTCTGTTAGCGTTGATCTCATACTGCAGTGTTTCCCCGACCGGCTCGAGCTGCTTGGTGAATAAAATTTGATTTGACTGATTTTTCTGAAAAATCTTCATGAATATTAATCAAGGGTTTTAATATTGACGTAGACTGTAGATCATCTTCAGCTCAGATCAATGCTTTAGGTAAGGCATATTTCTTTTTCTTTTTTTTTTTTTTTGTTGATAAAATAAATGAACCAACACGGCGCTTCAGCGGGAAGTGTCCCTCAAACAGTTGCCGCAAACTGTTGACCTTCATCGGATTTACACGTAATGAGGGTCATTTGTCACATGTGGTCCAGTGTCTGCTGTGAGCTCGTCGTTCAGACATAGACCTAGTCCTGTTTTTTTTTTTTTTTTCTCCTTGGCTGGACATAAAACAAACACATGGAACACACAGCGACGTGGCGCTCGGCAGACTTAATCAGCTTTTCTGACTCACCCCGTCTTTGACACGGAATGAATCCATAAATAAAAACACAGCCCGTCAGCGGCCCCCGTTGGTGACACGAGGAACCGCAGTGTCATAAGTAACGACATGATGGTAAAGAGGTCAACTTTTTTTTTTCTTTTTTTTTTCCATTAAGCGTGATAGTCAAGTTACTCTTGTCAAGCGAACAGTTTTTGAGTTTTTTTTTCATTAAGCGTGATAGAGATGAACCCAACGTTTGCTCCTTACTCTTGTCAAGCGAACAGTTTTTGACAAATCACGTCTCCTCACGACATGACGCTATTCCTGCGCGTTTATCGCGAGTCACGAGTCTGCTCGTTTCCGATTTCAACAACAACAGTTTCCTGATTCGACTTTGGGGTTCTGCTTCGTGCTCCTTGTTTTTTTTTTGTTTGTTTTTGGCTCTCGTTTCAGTTAAAAAAAAGTATCTTCTCCTGCCCCTCCATCAGCTTTTATCTCCCATGCCGCTAATGCTGCCGCTAATCTTTTATCCCGGCTCTTACGTACTTGGCTTGATGTGTGGAAAATTCAATAGACAGATTTAATGATTAATGAAAGCTTTTTTTTTTAAAATTAGTTCAACATAGTTGAATTGAAACTAAAGCGAAAAGAAACTAAAGAAAAAAAGAAAACAGAAAAAGAGGGCGGAGTCACTGCAGATTGACACAGCAGAAATCGCCCTAACTTTTGAAGTGAGCCTATCGTTGCCCGTTTGTTATCTTGCCGTCCGCAGTAGCTGGCCACGTTGCAAGCGCGACCTACGTTGCCAGTTTAGTTTAGTCGCAATAAAATGACGGCAATGACTGAGCTTAATGTAGCAAAGCAAAAGATAAAGTAAACAAAGCTTTTGATCAGTCTACGCATGTGCACGCTCTCCCCCAGATGTCAGTGCGTTATATCTGTTGATATAATGTGCGCAGTCAGTTGCCTCCGGGTGTTGGTATACAGTATGTGGCTGTGAGCCAGAGCTGCTGAGCAGCAGCAGCGGCGGCAGCAGCAGCACACGTACAGCCCGCAGGCCCTGGTGGCTCACAGACAGCCATGTGATTGATCGTACTTGTGCTGCCAGCTAGGGCAGCTCTCTCATCTTCTCTCATCTTCTCTCATCTTCATCGCTGTCCTGCTGTTTCTGGAGGAGCCTGGTGTGGTGTTGATCACTCGACACACCCTGTCACAGGTTCCGTCCTCACACTTGTGGCGAGGTTTTTACTCTTTACTCGCTTCTTTATACGTCACAGCATAATTTATGCTTTAGCGTCATTTGCAAAACAAGCGTCCAAACACAACGGTCCAACTTGTTTACATCAGCGGAGGGGCAGCCCCCCGTGGCTGTCGGTTACGCAAACGTGTGCACACAGTTCACAGTGTACAGTACAGTACACAACAACGCGTGGCGCGATGGGATTTGTGGTTGAGGTTCCGTAGGTTTTCGGCTCCCAGAGGGGAGGAAGTACGTTTGCTCCTGACATGCTTTTGCTCTCAGTTCCTTCACTTTATATTAAAGTTAGCGTTAGTCGAACCAAGAGAGACTCCCCTCTCTAGTGCTTTTCCATCACTCTCCTCCTCTTTCCCCCCCGTGTGTCGTACACACAACGAGCCCCTCCGGCCAAGATCTGTTCTCCGTTAAATAACAAGCCGCTGGCTGACGGGCAGATGCCATAGTGATGTAGCACTGCGAACTGTAGCCCTACTGTCATTACTGCTTGATAATCAGCACCGCAATGACACTGAGCCCTTACAGCTCAGTTATTTCAAGGCTGCTAAGAATGAGTAATATTTACCCCCCCTAGCCCCCCTCCTCTCTCTCCTCTTCGCTTTTCTGCTCTACCTCACTCTTCATCTCACTCTTTCAACGTCGGAGTGAACGTATGTGTGTGTGTGTATGTGTGTGAGTGGATGTTAGTGTTAAAGGGAGGTGAAGGATCACGCAAAAGATACAATCAACGACTGATACGTGTTGCCTCTGAAGTTTGTCTGTCTCTGTGTGTGTGTGCGTGCAAACATGCACCGCAACTAAAGTGCTTTAGTACACCGACACAAACGCGCCGATCACACAGACGAGGACACAGACAAAACAGGGTTGGTCATTTGATTAAACAGTAAGACCGTATCCAAAAAAAAAAAAAAAAATTCACTACCAATTTTGGAAATGACGATTTGCATGCACACGGTCTCAGAAACAGAGAAAAGACATATAAAAGAAATATAAGTCAATAAATGTAGCACTTTTTTTTTGTTGTTGTTGCTGCTGTTGTTTACTATCACAAAAGGAATAAAACCTTAACTTACCCCAGTGACAGAAAAAGAGTAAAACTCCTCATAAAAAAGAGGGGATTCCAATGCAGGAGAGGAGAGTGAGACTAACTAACAGGTGGTGAAGAGAGGAGCGGAGAATGAACAGGGAGAGAAAAGGAGAGAGGACAGAGGGAGAGAGAGAGAGAGAGAGAGGGAGGGGGGTTCGCATGTGTCATTAAAACTGGGACGAACAGGAATTATTTGAAATCAAACAGAAGAGGGAAAGAAGATACATATGGGAACAATAATCGTAGAGAGATAGAGAGGCAGATGAGACAGACAGGGAGATTAAGAGTGAGAAGAGAGAGAGAGAGAGGCAGAGAGAGAGAGAGAGACATGGAAGGAGAGAGAGGCAGCAGGGAGTTATTTCTTGACAGTCTGCTGTGCATGTGACTGCATCCTCCCCTCCTCAAGGTGCACACACACGCACACACACACATGTTTTTGTCAGACTGGAGGGTACTTTGCTTGGTCCACAATGCATACAATTAAAAGGATAAAACTAGTTTAGACCCAGACCTATATTTGCACAGGAAATATATATTTGTGTATGTATATATGTATGTATATATATGTGTGTGTGTGTGCAAGCATAAATAAAACCAACAAACACATACCACACTATATGAATATTAAAACGGGCTCCGTTCAGACAATACAAAACAGTGCAATATAATGCAAAAAAAAAAAATTTAAATTGGATTAGTTCATGTAAGGGTGCGAGTTAGTAAGGGGCTATGAATTATTAATTGAAGTCATTTTTTTTTTTTTTTT